GCTTTGGGCATGTTTTTATGAGAGTATAACATTATTACATGATATAAAACTCAAAAAGTTGATTTTACATGATATCGCCCCTTTAATACCAATATATCATGCATCCCTACTTCTAAAGATGCTCATTAAATAAACTCTTCTGTTCAGAGGTTAGCTTTAGAATCACCCTGACTCGGTTATAGGGGGTTTGTAAGACCAGATAGCAGCAGCAGGTAGCTGTAGCACCTCTGCTGCAGCCTCGGGTCACTTCCTGCAGGACTTAATGTTCCTGCTGGAACACCTGAGTCACGTGAGGTGTTTATAATTAGAAATGATCAGAAATTATTACAACTTACTAAAAGATTATTATTATATTGTTGACACTTGGGCTTCAGATTATTCTGCTTGTGACGTTTCGATCCAGAGATGATTGTGTTTCTGTGAGCAGAGAATCACTGATTSTCTCAAACAGGGGAGGCAACAATAAAACTGGAACACTGATCAAACTTGAGCCTGACGTTCAGCTCAGTGCAGGACAGACTTGTCCTCAGACAGCTGTTTGACTCACTCACATACGACTGACAGACTGCAGGGAGCCGAGCCGGGCCGGGCCCTGCTCAGGACTTGCCTCTGATTGGTCGGTCAGGTTGTCCAGTCGGGGCAGTTCTGGCAGCTGGGAGAAGCGCCGGTCGTAGATGCAGAGGTGCAGGTGTTTGTCCAGGACACGGAAGTCCTCATAGCTGCGCTTCACCATCCAGCTGCGACCCTTCAGGTGGGAGACGGGAACACAGGTTTAACCTCAAGTCCTGCAGGTCCTAACAGACTCTTTGGATCTGCAGCTCACAGCAGAACCACCAGAGACCAAACGGGTCACAGACACGCTGTCAACGCTCTCTGGTTTCATTTAAAAGAGTCGATCATCAGATATTGTCTAAGATTAAACTTCAGGGTGGATATAGCTCACTAGCAGCCTCGCACCGAGGACCTATCCATGTCATCATTTACCCAGAATGCTTTGTGTGTAAATAAAATGGCTCCGTCCGTGTTAAATTATTTTTTTTTAAAAATTACAAAACTAAACAGCCTACAGTAGTTTTACAGTCTTTATTTTACAGCTAAAATATGCTTATCAAATAAAGTCTACACTGAAAAAAAACAAACTTTTGGGTGTAGTAACATTTATTTAATTATTCTTTTAAATTTTGCAAAAAATATCAAAATCTC